TCCAATAGACTACGGAAGATGCTCGTTTAGATAGCATCCTCTATACAAAGTTGAGAATGCTGTTAGGAGTGCTTTTTCAGGCATAAAGTTATTTCTATTTCTGCTTTTGCACAGTGAATTGCAGTGGCACTAATGAGACAGAAGAACGATAGTCAAGGTATTTTCTAATTCAAAGATAGAGTTATCGTCAAACATATAGATTGTTCTGGGTCTTCTTTCTTAGGATACTTCGCAAATTTGCAAAGAATGTTCCATGCTTGTTCACCTATAACTTTATAATCTAGAAATTTTCCTATCATTTTTTGAGCGAGTTTCGCGTGTGTTTTAACAACAGCGAATTCTGTTGCATCGTCTCAAGTCTTTTCTAGCAAGGAACTTCTTTATAAATTTTCCTTTAAATTGCATGTCATACATTTCTCATGGTCGATTGGAGGGGTGTGAAGTGGGCGGCCGTAAATTAGGCATGGCTTCTTGGGATCCTTCATTCGTTTGCTTTTTGTGAGGTATCAAGCATCCCAGCGAGCTCTTCATTATGGACTCGGTTTTTTGCTTAGAAGGTTGTCACAACTCATTCAGCCACTTACATCTTGCCAATTTTTTTTGAGGTCGTCTTCCTCCTATTGGCCCGTCAACTCATCACGTTAACATGTTCAATTGTCTGCCATAGCTATGTCCCATTCCATTCTCAATTGACGCGGTAAAACTTCTTACAAAAGAATCTAGATCTCAACATACTTTGGACAACCTAATAAGGACAGAATAAATAGCAAGAAAATAAGAATACTTAGAAATATAATAGAAATAAGGCCGATAATATATAACGACTTAATGAACATGTCATTTACTCTGAAGTAGTAATAGTTTCCTAGAAAACACCATCTATGTTTTTTCAGTCTCTTTTGAACTGAAGAGTTTTTTGTATCTTAATTTATTCTAAAGGATCATTTTGGTCTAGATTTCATTTTCCTCACATCTGTCAAATACACTAACTTGTAGCCTTTACATGAGAGTTTCGCTGGGGACTTTGTAATAATTCCTTAAAGTCACATTCATATTCATGTTAGGGATGAATTATGTATAAATGTTGCTTATCGTTCAGTCTGGCAGCAATAAGCTGTAATGTTAAGCGTGCGTAGTAATTTAATGAGTTTCAGTGCAGTTATTCGTTTATAATTTGATATATCCACTTAACAGTTGTCTTCTGTATGCAAGTTTACATCTGTTTCCAGATATCTGCTGTCTGCTCATTAATGTCTCTCATCTCAACTTTAAATATCCTTCTCGAGTGATACATTGCACACTATCCTTACTTTGTAAGCCCAGGGTTTCATGCGCACCTCTAATTATAAAAGTCGTTCATTTTTTTCAGCATCTATATGGGCCTTTTCTTACATTCTCACAAAACTTTCAAAAGTTTTCTCAAGTATTTAAAGTTACAGATTGAATAAGATATATGTCAGTCCGCGAGGTACGGATCTGGAAGCGGACAGATGGCAGGCAAACACCTGCTATTCTCATTGACAAAAATTCAGCTGAGTATTCCCTTCTGCTGCAGAATGGCGGTGTTGCTACCCTTGGTATGAATGATATAAATGACATGGTTTTTCTTATTGCGCTTCCGACCGATTAGCAATTTTCTTGCAGACCCCGACTCAGCGGAAGTGGAGAGGAGGGGATACACTAAGATTATGGACTCATACGGTCTAATGGGTATCCTGCGGCTAGGCAGAGGTT